CTTCTTTTCAAAGGAAATAATAAACAATTATCCAAATAATTATAGGCCTATTAATCTTAAAGCAATGGTGGGAAAAGTTTTTCAAAGTCTGAAAAAAAGAAGAAGATACTTTACAAATTCATTTATCGAAGTTTAAAATTCTGTTAGGTAGTCAGCAAGGTTTCACTACGAGAAAACCTCGCCTTAAGAATCTTCTGACATTCTTTGAAGAGGTTACTGATTATGCAGACGAGTGTGTGGATTGGGGGTATCTAGATTTCCAAAAAGCATTTGAGAAGGTGTCACACAAAAGGATTATCAAAGCAGAGGGCTGTTACAAATGGAATTCAGTCAAACTGGATTAATGTCAGAAGTGGAGTACCTCAAAGTTCAGTGTTAGGATCTTTCCTCTTTTTTATTTATATAATGACATAGACTTAGGAATGGGAAATAAACTGTTTAAACTTGATGATGATATTGTCTAGGGTGTGGCTGGTTGTCATAAAGATGCTGTATCTTTACCAAAACATCTAGATTATTTAATTAGGTGGTTAAATAAATTGAATAAATGGAATGCATAAATATATGCAAAATAATCCATGTGGATTATCATAATGTAAATTATAAGTTTAGTTTTGGTGGGAATAATCTTAAGTGTTACGGAAGAAGAGGACCTTGATGTTTTGGTTAATCTGTCATCTAAGCCATCCAAGCAATGTACTTACTGTTGCTAGTCGTAGGATAAATAGGATTTTAGGTTGTATTTAATGAAATACTGAACACAGGTCTTAAGAAAGGTTATAATTTCGTTGTATAGGTCACTGGTTAGACCTCATCTGGAAAACTGTTCTCAGTCTTGGGCTCCTTACCTTAAGAAGGACATTGAATTGCTGCCGAATGGGTTAAGAGGATGGCTATTACAATGATACCTTGAATGGAAAGGTCTTGCAACAGATTAATTAAGATCTCAGAGATGTTCTCTTGGAAAAAGAAGAGTTACAGAGAATCTGATTGGGGTGTTTAAAATTGTTAAGGGAATTGATAGTGTTGACTGCTCCATGCATAATCTTTTTTATTTTTATTCTTAATCGTAAGGTGTCTCACAAATACTGCTGATCAGTGCTTAACTCAGTATTTCCTAAGTGCTGTGGTAGATCAACAGGAGTCAGAACCAATTTTACAATAAAGTGCTGTTCGCATGTAGCAATTGCTTTCTCAGTTTCTCCCGTGAATAAATTTGGTCCACGTGTGCAGCCATCGAGATGTTAGAAGAAATGGTGAAGTAGTAGTTCATTCATGTGCAACATACATATCATCCATTGTAGAGGGCATACCAAATGGTTTTCTAGGAGTCTAAGCACACCATCTCTAAGCTCAGTATTTGTCATTGTACCATCAGTGCTAAAAGTGTCTGTATTAACACCACCTTCTAAAAATGAGACACCTGAAACAAATATGTCAAAATTGCTTTATGTTGAAATGCATTGGCAAGCAGCTATATTAAACAATTTCATTGTTTCCTTGAGAAAGTTCTGTCATTTAGAATCAAAGGTAGGTGTTCCAGTTCTTTTCCTTGATTTCATCAAAGCTTGATATTTGTCATGTCACTTTCGTATTTTCTTTACCAAGCTATTATGAAAAATGATTGGAATTTCCATAGGTCTTCTACATCGGAAGCAACTATCTCAGCAACCTTTGGTTCTGCATCTGATACTAATGGCTTCAGTTTTAGTCTTATATGCTGATAGTGTGAAATTACATCTGCAATTGTTGGTAGAACATTGATTTTCAATGGTTGTGCATCAAGCCCGATACCTGTGAAAATGCCTACAGATATTTACTTTTAGCTTACCTTGTTAAACCCATGAAGAATGCTGTAATAAAAGTAAGGGAAATGAAATATAGCATTCCAGCAGGGCGACAATTCCTCTTCAAATCACATCTTACTACATCTACCCACACAGTAGCTACTAGCTCAAGGAAGGTTGCCAACTAGTACATTTCTATAGCTAGCTACCCATGACAAACTGATTGTATGCCAGGACGTTACTTCCTAAGCATGAAGAATGCAAACAATTAATGCAATTTTTACTAATAACTATGCAAGATGGGTTGAATGTCAAAAATAATTTCTAGGCATAAGTATCAGAAATTCCAGGCATCTTTTGGAACCAGTAAACGAAAACAAAACTGAATGATATTTTACACATTTATTATAAATATGCATATACAACTATTATACCTATAGAGAATTTGATATGAAGCAAAAAAAAGTTTTGGTCCATCCTAATATATATGTAGGACCTCATTCATCTTTCATAAACAAATACATTTGACCTGGTCATTAAAATCAATAAAACTGAACTTTTTTTTCAAGATAAACACACATTTAGTTTGTACTCACTAGATATGTATGTAAAATATGGAGCTATCTTGTCATTTGATCTTTTGTTAGCTATCTTATTAAAGTTTGGTGGACCTGTTACTGAACCTACCATCTCATTCATATACTGTTAACATGCACAATGGATTTTATTCACCTGTGTATAATAATGTTCTAGAACCAAATGCTGTCAGGGATGCTAGTGTACAATTATTATGAATTATTCCAAGTTCAAGGAAAGGATGGTGAAATGGTTACTGACACATTTCCAAAATCAAATTATTAGTCTGTTTCACAACACATTTTTCAGACTATAGAAATCAAAATAAAAGATATGAGTAAACCTATAGCTTTTGAATAAGGACAATTCTGAAACTTAATTTTTGACATCAAAACACTAACTGTGAAATCTTGCACACTGTGAAAACCATTTACACAGCAAGTAGGACAAGGACTACCCTACTTTTCTGGAAATTAGAGGTAGCATGATTTTGGATTGGATAGAGGTTTTCAATATTCTGTTTTGTTTAGTTATAACATTTTTGAAACAAGATAAAATTCACTGGAAAACAGGCAGTCCACCCTACTATAAATTTAGCTTTTGACATTACTCTTAAGAAAATCTAACAAAGTAGTAGTAAAACAATAGGCTACACTAGGAGTTCAGACTTTTGGTAAAGATCTGACACAATATATGAAAGGATGAAAACTAACCAGTATAAAGAAGTGTCCACAAAGTTTAACAGTCAAAATCACATGGAACAAGTGATAGAAAATACTAAGATGCCAGACTGATTTGACATATAATCATGGCACTCCTTTCTCACAAAACACCTTGACACTGTTCAGATTCAACATTAAACCTTTTTTTCTCCTCTCCCTCCAATACACACTGTATACAAAGTAATATGATGGAGGTTCAACCAAATTTTCTATTCTGGGAATAGAGAAAAAGCATTTAGATCCTACACAAACTTGCATTCAATGAAAATAAACATTTTTAAATCAGATATAACAGAACTAAATAAGCTCTACCAACCTGTTGCATCATTCTCTGTTTCTTTTAAGAAGACATTCATAGAGGTGTAAAAGGCAAGGGCTATAACCTTTCACACCTGCCTTCTAGTCTACATTGAATGACTGCTACATGCATGAATAATGTGTGATTTTCCACTATAATTTTATTCTAATGAAGCTCTATTCTGTGTTTGTTATTGTTCTTTTCCATCACTGCCATAACCATTAACCAATCTCTGTTACACAATACTGTTTTACCTACGTATTTTTCGGTGTATAAGACGCACGTTTTTACCCCAAAATTTGATGTCAAAATCTGCTTGCGTCCTATACACGGAAGGTATGAATAATATATATGTATACATATATGATATACACAAGCCATGTATAAATATATTTAAATAGGCATGTATAGTTTAGTTCAATTGAATGTGTTATTTATAACAATAGCAGTTTTTCCTTTTAAAAACAACTATTTATAATGCTCCCTAAATAATAAAAAAATTTATTACAGTGAAAGCAATGAAGATTTTGTAGATTTTGAACCAAACTAAATAACAGTAAACCTTTTTTTGATTTATGGTATTTTCTTATTTTGATGTTTTAAGCTCTTTTGTGTTTAGAACAATATATACTAATTTTTAAAGTATCAAATTGAATTTTTATTCAATAAAAATCTTTCAAATGCGACTGTAGCTTTTTTCCCCCCAAAACTGTATCTTCAAAATAAGGGTGAGTCTTATATTCCAGAAAATACGGTATGTCTCAATTTTTGTGAAATGATTCAATATTTACCGTTATGTAGAACATTCATGTGCATTGATTTTAGATTTATTCACAGTTTCTGGCCTATACAAACAACTCCTGAAGTATTAAATCATTATTCTTATGTATGTAATGAACATGCACAAGTGTACATACAAACAATGTATATATTTAAATAGATACAATTGAAGGTCTTTTCACTTTCAGTTTTGATGACAACTTTTGCAGTATCAAATAACAACTTCTCAGTTTCTTGCACTATTGAAAATTTCCTTCGAACTCCCTGTGCACTGTTTATAGTATTCCTACTACTAGGTACATCAATTATTTAATTAGGATAAAAGTATTTGTGGGTTTTGAACCAAACTTTGTTAATTAACAGTTGTGGTGAAACTTGAGTAGTTCTGAAAGAATAAATAATGCTCACCTGATGACTATTTTTTAAACACTGTGTCACCTGAGAGAAGAACTATGTGAATATGTGTCTAAACAAAAAGCCTATTTTAAGGTAACTTAAAGGTGAATTTTTATTTAACCATTTGTATTTTCAAAGAAATCTCATTTAGACAAATTTGAGTACAAACCCCAAAACACTTTAAACACAGTTTTGTACTAAAAAAAAGTGATGAAATGAATGATTGAATACGTGTATACAAACCAAAATGGTTTAAGCACAGTACTGTACCAACAAGGGAAGCCTTAAATGTCATGTCTATAAGAATTATTTGAATATAATGTGTGTATACAAACTAAAACCATTTAAACACAGTATTGTACCAACAAGGGAAACATTGAACATTGTGTCTACATGAGCTATTTGAGCATTTATTTAGAAAAACTACTCTACATATAACCATTACTTTTTCTACAATGAAAGCTTTATTTGAACACCAAAAATACAGAAAACTAGACACAGTTTAGAAATATTTAAATTGGAGAAAACATCAGACAATCTTATGTAAACATCAATATTTTATCTTCAAGATGAAATTTACTTCTTATCTCTGCAGTTTTTTTATGTATTGTGAATACACGAAGCAAATTACTTGAAGGTTACTAATAAATGAAAACACAATTATCTTGACATTATATCTATCAGAGAGACTTCATTATAAATTTTTCTACAAAATTTATACATAAGAGAAATTTTATTTAAACTCTTCCTCTTTTTGAAAACCTTTAGCTGAATAAGATCAACAAATGGACAGACAAATTGTTAGGCATGTGGACTTGCCCTCCCAACTTCCAATACATGGTCAAGCAAACAAGAACAACAGACACTGGATAACAAGATCTAACCAAATGATCCACCCCAAGTTTATCAAATATGCACTAATATAATCTCTACTTATATATCCTCTATGTCAAACAAAATCAAAAATTTGATACAAAGTTTACAATTCTTTTTTACAGAACCAAAAGTTAATTGCAACTTAAGATAAAAAAATGTACTGATGTAAAGTTGGGATATCTTAGCAGACACTGCAAGTGGGGATTAATTGTTCTGGTGGAAGCAGCCAAAGACAACTGACCATGGTTGGTTACTAGGCAATATTCACAAAAGCACACATTTTGTCCTTTTTTTCCTTCTCACCTGCAAAAGTAACATAATATTTTTAACTTACATTCCAGTTATTGCTATTATTAGTTAAAACTGCAATTCACTGAAGAAAACTTTAGTATAATGTAAGAACTGTGTTTGTAAATGTAATTATTATACATGTATACAATTTTCAGAAAACATGAAATATTGTACATTTGAGGTATGGAATAAATGCCAGAGTTTGACACACAGTCAAAAGACTTTATAATGTGATAAATGCTGTAACAACATTAGGGTAAAGGACAACAAGCAAAAGTGAAGAAATACTTTCCTTTTTGTTTCTTAAGATTTAAAAATTAACCTTCTTTCCATGGACGCTGAATATCGAATATTGCAATATACCCAAAATTTAGATAACGTAACAATTTATTAGAAAAATAAGGTTAAAGATAGACTGTGTGGGTGGCTTATCAACATTACTGCTACAATGTTGTAAGATTTTGCATTAAGGTTAATTTAATATCAGTTTGTAGTTAAAGTGTCTGAGAATAATGAATGATACAAGTACTAATTCTTACAATTATAAACATTAAATCCCTTGACATGATTTGCCATCTGTATTTGTGTCAAATCTTTGTTACATTTTTACAAAAAAACACATTTGCTTCTCTATACTCACAAATTAAAGTTAGTTTTCTCAAGTATTCAAAATATCCTCAAATATGTATCTTGTAATTAATGTTTGTGGTGAAACCTAAATAATTCTAGAGGAATAAACAATACTCAGCTGATAACAATTTTGTAAAACACTTATGTCACTTCAGTCCACTTAAAATAAAATTTCAAAATGAAAGATCTATTTAATTCTAATCTATGATATTCACATAAACATATGAAATGTATAAGATTTCATTATACAATACAACAAATTATATAATATCTACTTAAATGTGTGAAATACAAATATCCTCACGTGATCACACCGTACCGACGGTGATCACTGTTTATCAGTGTTTCTATAAACAAAGGATGATGAGCTTATTGTCTCAACACGTCATCAATGGATAGAAAGAAAAGGTGGAAAACTTTTGTTAGAATAAAAGTCAATTATAATACATTGTTTCTATGTATTTACATTATACTTAATACTGAAAAAAAAAATGGTTCAAACTCTACGTAATCATATATTTTCTACACAAATTTAATATTCAACATACTTTAACTGAAGTTTTTTATGTCATTGAAATTTAGTTTTGATGGTAATGGTTTGATACACTCCTTAGGTTACTTTTCCTTAATAAAGTATTAAGAACAAAATCATCAGAAGGCAAACATAGCTTTGATTTATTTTTCTCCTTTTTATATAAAAACCTGATAATTTATTTAAATCTAACCTTCCTCATCTCAGTTATGTTTGCTCATTCTGATATCAGTACATCTGTCAAGATGATGCAATCATTTGTACTTTTGTCTTGCTGTTCTGGCTCTTATAATTTTATATCCCAAAGAAACGAAACCAAGCTTTTAAAATGATTATAACTCTTCTTTTCATCTTGTGTTACTTGTTTAAATGAACTTGTTCAGCCAGTATTTTGTATATTTGTATGCCAGTTTATCTGCTCTTCTATTTAAAAAAAAAATTCATTCACTGGATAGCCAAATATATGTTTAACAATATTCACTGCCACACTCATATAAATATATATATATATTAAATAATACCAACCAAATTGGCTTGCAGATATCTGCATAAGTAAGATCTATACAGCAGTAGTGATGTTACATCAACTATCAGATTTAGACAACTTGTAAGCTTCACATATTACATAATAAAGGATTTAAAAAAAATTAAAAGCATTTGTTATATGCTTGGAAATAGTCTTGGTGAAATATGAATCCCTGCCCAATACGTTATATTCCTGACCACATGCAGGGATACATACCACACTTGCATTGTCCACTCAGCATGCTTCACTATAAATGTTAACTGTGATATCATTCTCCCTCTGTCATCAAATAAAATATTGCTGATCGTTCTAAAATAAGTTGAAGTTAAATTTCAACAGTGAAGTGCACCCTCTTCCAACGTTTTTATATTGTTTGAATTCTGATCCCAATTCCAGCCTTTTGGTTTTATCTCTTAAATAGTGATTTTTGAGCAGCTATAAATTCAATGTGGTAACTTCGTGCTAATGTAAATCATATTTTCTTGTAAATAGCATTTACAGCATTTAAAAGATTTCTATTGGAGTTTTGTGTATCATGTAAAGAGCACATACCGAGTTATGTAACATCACTTTTGAAGCATTTGAGCTTTACATCTTAACTGCTTCTACCACCAACAGAACTAATTCACATATCTTCTTCAGTTTCTATACATAGCTCCTACATGAAACTTCACCTCAATCAGACAAATGGAATAGCCTTCACCAACCAAATTTTGATTTCTACATATTTGTCATGTAGCATTTTTGTCCTGTGACCTATGAGTGTATTTGTCACATTATTACTAAAAGTAGCACTACTCCCTGTACTTTTATAGGCATTATGTTGGCATGGCACTGTCTGACTGATGAGATGACAGCCAATTACAGTGTAAATTATCACTGTGTGGTTATACTCAGGGGCATTTTATTTTCATACAATAGTATTTATGCAATTCCATACTCTTTGCAATATATTCTAATTTATTCATTGCTTTTATATTTATTTTCAATAATGTGTATCACATTTATAACCGGTTTAAAAGCTGCCCATGACAATAAAACTTTTAAATTGGAAAATAATCACACTTGGTATGCACACATATTTACATATTTGAATCAACTAGCCTTGTCTGTATTCTTGTGGGTACTCAGAAATATTTGCTTTGTCATTTTGAGAGCAAAACAAGAAAATGATATTTAATCAGTATAAATTCCTGTTTACATAATTATTTCCATGATAATATGATCATAAAATATGACTTTTGACTGTTCAGTGATAACATGCAACAAGAGAAACACCAAGTGCTTTCTACACTTGAAAGATGAATGAATAAGCATGAAAAATAACAACCTTGAAAACATTTACTTCCTGGAAATAATTATTTTAAAAGTGCAGAGAAATCTTTTGATGCATAATTCAAAATCATACACACTAAAATTGTAGATTTCATGCATTATTAACCAAAACAAATTTTAATCTATATAGGTAATGTGTGTGTGTGTGTGTGTGTGTATATATACACACACACACAAAAAAAAAAACACACATTACCTA